TCACTCTGTCACCAAGGCTGCAGTACTGCTGTGCGATCATGGCTCACTGAAGCCTCGAGCTCCTGGACTCAAGCGATCCTCCTACCTCACTCTCCCAAATAGTTGGGCCTACAGGCACGCATTACCAAAACCAGCTGATTTTTTATTTTTTCTAGAGATGAGGTCTTGCTATATTGCCCATGCTGGTCTTGAACTCCTGTCCTCAAGCAATCCTCCCGCCCTCAAGCAATTCTCCTGCCTTGGCCTCCCAAAGTGCTGGAATTACAGGTGTAAACCATCGTCTATTATCTTCTTGTCAACGTTCATTCATTCTCTAAAAATACACCGTCTGTCGACTACATGCTAGGCACATCTATTTACTGATAATGATATAAAATTAGCTTATATTTAAATTCCTAAGAAACAAAAGAAAAATATTAAAACTGACCAAAAAATAAATATTAAGTAAAACTGGACAGATAGTACACAGGAATAACTGAAATTTGAGAAACAGTGAATAAAGCTAAACTAATATATCACACTGTGTGTCATGCTGCCTGCTTACCCATTTCCCTAACTCGTTTATATGGGAACCTTGACTTATTTTTCTCTGTCTCCTTGGCTAAGTGCCTGGGGCCTAAATCCCAGAGTAAATTGAGAAAATTAGAGTTTTGATTCAAGGCTCTCTGAACTACTTACTATTTTAACAAAGTTAAAGCATTAAAAAATTAAAAGATAGTTAAGTTAAAATCTTGCAAAACTGTATAATGTATCATTTGGATAATGATATTATTGGATAATTATACTATCAAATTATTATTTGATAATAATACATTCCTTCCTAGTGAGGAAGATGAAAAATATCATTTAATCTAGAAATTGTTAAACGCAATTAATATAACCCAGTAGATTACAGAACCTATTTAAATTTCCATAGCTAAGAAAGAGAAATCCCTTGATTTAGTGCTATTATTATCCACTAGAGGGTGCTCATTCAACTATTTTAAAAGTTGCTTGGCAATGAAAAATAAATCAATTTATGGAAATGCACCAAAGTATATTTCTGAGTAATTTTATTTTTATTCTTCAGAGATGCTAATGAGGAGCTGATGGCTTCCTATTGTATTCTGGCAAAGGCTCTTCCTTGTATCTCATAGAAGGGCAATTTATGTCCAGATCTGGTATTCACTGCTCCTCAGATAGGAAATCCTTTCGCGTTTCTAGTGGAGCATCAACAGGCTAAAAATCCTGAGCGTAAGGAGTCCTTCATACTACAGGATCTGAGCATACATTTGGAAGGATGCAACTCCAAATCCTTCACAGCAGCACAGAAGGTGTAGGAAAAGGCATGGACTTTTAAGTCACAGGACTGAATTTGCCATAACTACAAGATACCTATCAATTGTTCTAACCTCTGACTTTAAAGGGTCTAAAAGTTACTTCTTTACAGAGATTTGCACAGATTAAGGCTGAAAACGTGTGTGAAGCCAACATATAGGACAATATAGAAATCTAGATACTAGTTCATTTCTCTCTTACCTAACTACCTGGGACTACACCCCTCACAGATTATGGTAATATTATCTGATTGTGTGTGTGTGTATTTTTTTTCCTCTCTGTATCTGAACTCTGGGTGAGGAGAGTGTCCAAAAAAAAAAGATGTTGCAGACAGTTTAGACTTACACATTCTGTTTGTTTTGCTTTCTATAAAGTACATGTATAATTTCCAAAGTTAATTGAGATTTCTAATTAACTCTTACATTAATCACACATTTATTAAGTATCCATTAATTATCCAAGTAATCATACATGGATTTGAGGGCAGGATATATACAGTCCATTTTTGTATTCTCATTGCTTAGCACAACGCCTAGTACACAAACACTGCCAAAACTGGGAATAAGCAGTAATGGTTGCTAAAATAAGCAAACAGGTAAGTACTAAAGATGGCTATTGCAATATGCCAGATAAGAGATTGTGATGGTCTAAGTGAATGGCAGTAGTACAGCATTTTTTTTAAAAGATCCAAATTAAAGGGGGCAGGGTAGTTTAGTCTCAAAGACAACTCTCACTTCTGACACCAACTACAAGTTCAGGGATTCCCAGCATGATTCTCAGGTTTGATTATTCACTGGGACACAACTGAACTCATTGAAAGCTGTTATAATCACAGTTATAGTCACAGTTTATTACAACGAAAGCATACAGATTAAAAAAAATCACAGGAAGAGACTCATGGTGCAGAATGCACAACAACTCAAAGCATGAAGCTTCCAGTTGTCCTCTCCAATGGAATCACCAACGAGGTTAACTTTTGCTGGCAGTAATGTATGACAGTATACACAAGAGTACTGCCAACCAGGGACACTCACCAAAGCCTTGGTATCCACTCTTTATTGGGGCTTGGTCATGTACATATGATTGACTGCCCATACAGCTTTTAGTCACAAGCCCTTCTGGATGTTGAGGTGACATCTGTGAACACCAGGCCTCAACATAAATCACATTGTTAGATTATCAGGTGCGACCTCAACACCCAGGTAAACAAAGACACACTTATCAGGAAGGACATTCCAAGGGCTTAGAGATTGCCACCCATGAGCTGAGGGCAGTTGCCAGACCTATTTTTATACAAGGTTCATTTTTTACTACAAAGGCAGTGAAGGTATAGAGAAGAAAGGAGGAAACCAGACTGATGGTGATACACTTAATTCAGATAAAATATGCAGGTAGTAAAGGCAACATAGGTTTGGAAGGGAAAAATAATAATACACTTTTGAGTTTGCCAAGTAACTGAAGTTGCTAAAAAACAGAAGTATGGGACTGAATCTTGGGAAGAACCTCACAGCTTGAGATGACAGCATAGTGATAAAAGTCATGCCATGAATGGGCTTACCTGAGGAGAACATGAAGGCCACAAATAGAGCAAACATTGAACCAGGGTAAACTTCAATTTTAAAGGACTACTCAGAGGATGACTAGACAAGAGAGGTTGTTAAAAAAGAGCAAAACTAAACACTAAATATTCCTCAATACTACAGGAAACTAAAAATATTGAAAAAATTACTTTCTAAATAGGCCAAAAAAAAAAAAAAAAAAAAAAAGCACTTGACTTTCCCTGGAAGTAGACTCTACAAGTACATTATGTCTTGCAAATAAGCAGTTAAAAAACAAAATATGTTATTCTGTTCTTATTTCCCCATACCATCTTCCACACTCAGACTACTTCCTAAGCTGAGAAACCTTTATTTTTGCCTATGGCAAATTTAGTGCGTGTTTATGCAAAACTTAAATTACCATGAAAACTCAACAATAGGGTAGATGAAGCAGAAGGCACAGCTAATTAAATGGATTTGAGGTTCATTGCTCATTTTGTTTAGGGTCAAATAAAAGTATATGACTTTCTGCATACACTAAGTAGAAAAATAAGTTATTATAGAATATGAGTAGCCAGACTGCTACAAAGTCTACAGAAAAAAAATACCTCTTGAAATCTTTTTTTTTTTTTTTTTTTTTAATCACATCCCAGATATGAGACAGTATAGAACAAGGATGAGCTGTGGGAGTTCTTGAGTCAGACAACCTAGGTACAAGCCTCAGTTCTGCCATTTATTAGCTGAGAGAACTCGGGCAAGTTACTTAAACTCTTAACGGGTTTGTTCTGAGGATGATGTAAGTCAGCATTGTCTGGCATACACTAAGCATGCAATAAGTGTTTGGTTATTTGGATACTCTACTTGAGTACCTTTGTATACTGAAAATCTCATGAATTTATTACATACTTTCTTATCCAGTTTTTCATCACTGTGACAGAAAATACCCATTTGAAGATTTTCAATACTTTTGAAATAAAACCCACAAATATAAACGGTTTGCATATCACAGCATTTACCAATTTCTGTAACAGCTTAATCGTCCTAAAATTATCTCAGAATCACCTCAGACTTTGTGATCTTTATTAGCCAAAACTTAGTTTTAGAAAAATGCTTAGAACTGCCCTTTGGAAAGGAGAAATGCTTAAGAATTGATCCAAGAAAAAAACGGACAAGCCAACCATGTGAAAAATTAGTCTGGACCAAGTTCCAGATACTATCTGTAGCCATGAAACTTTCTTCCTCACGCAACATGTAGGGGACTTTTGCCCTAACTTCATGAACAGTGCACCTTCTTCCCTCTACCTAGAAGGTCTAGTTCTTCTTGTCAAAGTAAATCCTATAAGTCGCCAAGACCCAGCTACCCTTCAGGCCTTTGCTGGTACCCTCAGGCTTTGTTAGATACTCGGATCACAGTATTTACAAATTAGTTTATATAGTTGTAACCACACCCATCTCCTCACTTCTCCCATAAACACTAACTAGATGGCACGTAAACTGGACATGCAGATGGTCTTGCTCTGTATTCCAGAGAGTGTTACATAGTGTATCAGGCACTCAGTGTCAAGAACCCATACAGTAACCCATACATTAACAGCAGCTTACCAAACAATTCACATTTCTCTCACTTCCATGCGTTAAACATTCCTTGTTTTTATATTTAAATAATTTTGTGTGTATATGCACGTGTTCAAAATACACCCAGCCATCGACATAGGAAAGAAATATTATTACCGAATAATGTGTACCTTTGGCTAAGATAAAACAGTGCTAGCCTTAAAGATTTGTTGTATTATCCTCTAAATTTCAGAAACCAATTATTCCAAGTTTTATGGTTTTTCTTTTACAGTATAATTAATTTTGTCAAACAAGTGGGCATTCCTATTTCAAGGATAAAAGCAATTGCTCAAAGCAAAGGCATAACAATTTGTGCTTACCATCCCTACAATGTTTTCTTTCCCCTTTCCCTCATGCTATGATTCAATCTATTTCTTCTTAGTTGTTCCTTTCTATAGCTTCAGTAGGAAAGGGCAACCAGATTTAGATTTCTTTGGCTTCTATACTTATAGCATCCCTCCCACAAAAAGGAGGACTACATATTGTACTTTGTCTATCCCATCACAAAGCATTGAGATGAATTATACTAACCTTACTGTATTCCAGGCATCTCCAAGTTCTTTGGAATACTGTTTTTCAAAATGATCCAACACAACTTTGCAAATCTGTTTTGCAAGCTTCCCCTCTGATTTTGCTTTCAGCTATGACGATAAGAAAAAGTTGCTGACACACAGTGATATTATTACAAATTTATTGAACGTCAACATTAGCAAGGTCTTTTTTTTTTTTCAAGACAAGAACACTTTTTTTGGATAATTACTAGTTCTTGAAATAGAAGCAATACCTTACATGTACCAAAACTGTACTACATTACCTACTTATGAAAAAGCAAGGTTTTTCCAAATAATTATTTTCCAAACGTGAAGCAAAGGTTAAAACGGAATCTACTGGGGCTGAGTAAACTGTCAAAAGGAACAAAATTAATTTTAAAAAGTCACTGTAAGGGCTGGGTGGTTGGCTCACCCCTGTAATCCCAGCACCGTGGGAGGGGGAGGCGGGAGGATCACATGAGGTCAGGAGTTCAAGACCAGGTTGGCCAACATGGGAAACCCCGTCTCTCCTAAAAATACAAAAATTAGCCAGGAGTGGTGGTGGGCGCCTGTAAACCCAGCTACTCAGGAGGCTGAGGTGGGAGAATCGTTTGAACTCAGGAGGTGGAGGCTGCAATGAGCCGAGATCACTCCACTGTACTCCAGCTAGCTCATGCTTTTCATGGAAGAGGCGACAGGATCATTTCCCAGTTCAAGACCAGACTGGGAAACATATCAAGGACCTGTCTCTACAGAAAGTAAAAAAAAAAAAAATTAGCCAGGTGTGGTGGCCCGCTCCCGTAGTCCCAGCTACTAGGGAGGCTGAGGCTGGAGGATCGCTTGAGCCCAGGAGTTCAAGGTTGCAGTGAGCGATGATGGAGCAGCTGCATTCCAGCTTGGGTAACAGAGCAAGACCTTGTCTCTAAATGAAACTAAAAAGTCACCGTGGATGTTGACATCAAGAAAACTTGGTGAAAGGCATTTGAGAACTCTGTACTAACTTTGCAACTCTTCATTACTTTTAAGTGAAAAGTTAATTTAGAGGGAAAAAAGTCACTCCAATTCCTCGTGAAACTTCCCTGCAATTGTTTCATTTATTCATCCAAGAAAAGTGTATTCAATGCCTACTATGTAACAGACACTGTTCTAAGCTCCCGGGATACCGCTATGACACAGAAAACAAATCTCAGCCCTCCAAGAACTGGAGGGAGTGGGTACCAGAAGTCTGCGAGCTGGACGGAAGGGACTCAGCATTACTGCACTCAGCATTACTTCAGGGCTTGACAGTAAAGTCAAAGAAACGCTGATCTCGCGAGTGGACGAACAAAGGTGATGTTCCCCCCTCCCAGCACCCTCCCTCGCCACCTCGGCCGCGTGCAGAAGCGTCTCATTCAGATAGAGGTACCCAGCCGGGCCCCAGGCCTCACCCGGGTCAGCATTGTCCCGCTGAGAGCTTTCAAACAAGAGGTGTACGCGAACCGGCATCAAAAACCCTCCACGGAACTGAAAGAACAGTCTGACTTCCGGGATTAGCGGGCACCCGCTTTCATTCTCACGGTGCCTCTTCAAGTTCTCGCGAGATACTGATTTTCAGCGCTATAGAAATCTCGTGGAAGAGGCGTAGGTCCCGCGGGAGATTTCGCGCGCAGTTACTTCCGGTAGCTGGTAAACGCCGATACTTTCCAGGACGCGGAGGAAGCGGGCCAGGGTCAAAGCGACTTTCGCTATTTGGATTGCTCGGCGTCCGGACCTTAGAAAGTCACATATCCGCGCGCCTGTGGCCCCAGCTTCTGTGGATGCTGAGGTGGGAGGATCGCTTGAGCAGGGGTTTGAGGTTGCAGTGACCCGTGATCGCGCCGCTGCACTGCAGCGTGGGCGACAGAGCGAGGCCTTGTCTCAAAAAATAAAGAAATAAATAAAAAGATAGTCGCATTTTGTGCTAAACACTCTGTGTATTGCTGGGGCTCAATAAAAGAATGAGTTTTGGGGTTATGTTGTATGATGACTGCTTTAAAATATTCTCAAAGCGAAGCGAGTTACTGACTTAATCTACCAAATCTAATGACCCTTGTTAGCCTAGACATTCAGTACCCAAGGATAAAAGGGTGGAATGTAATGAAAAAGAAATTAAGTCATGCTTTTCCCCAGACCTGGCCCATGGGGATAATCTCTCCTTTTAATGGGGAGTGTCAAATGATTAAACTGAAGTACGCGTGTAAAGCGGTTACAACAGTGATTAGGAAACAGTAAATCCCCAAATGTTAGCTGCTGCTGTTATTTTCACTATTGTGATCATTGTGATTTTTATCGCGTTGATACCAAATGTGTGAAGACCGAAAGGATCCTCCACTCTCTAGCTTCCCCAATTCAACTTTACAAGGAGCGAAGTTTAATGGTTCTTCAAGGAAGTTGTTTATTACGCCGATTTTGATAGGAATAGCAGTTTATTTGCTCTTTTGGTGTCATGCTTCAGTAACTATCATTTGTAGCAACAATCAGCAATTAGAAAAAATCAGCTTGATATGGTCCCTGATATTTAATAATCATCATTTTGAGTTGTCCCTTGATGCTTATATCAGTATAGCTACATGCTATAGGTACAAGTCTTATATTCATGTAAAAACATGTCTTTCCCACTAATCTGATTTGAAGCTTAATATATTTATTTATTTAAACAAGTTTCCAAGTCACCTAAAAAAGGCATCTTATTAGAATTTAGATTTGGTACAAAAGACAATGTTATTCAGGAATGAAATGATGCCATCTCTTGGATGCCATCTGTTTAATGTTTGTGGAAAAGTCGGTCTAACCTTTCGGCCTCTGTATTTTTTATTTTATACATTTATATTTTATCAATATATTTTATATATTTACATGTTTTATACAATTTATTTTTCTATGCTTATTCCAGGATGTTGCAATTAATTAATACAGTGGTATTGTATTTGCAATGTAGACATGTAAAATAATTTGAAGAAGGGAATTTCGCGGCAGTCTTGGCCTGGCTTCCTGGTGTAGCCAGCAAGCTGGGAGGTGCTAACCCCTGCTGTCATGGTTCCTTTGCTAAACTGCATCGTCGCTATGTCCCAAAACATGGGCATCGGCAAGAATGGGGAACTGCCCTGGCCGCCGCTCAGGAATGAATTCAGGTATTTCCAGAGAACGACCACACCTCCTTCAGTAGAAGGTAAACAGAATCTGGTGATTATGGGTAGGAAGACCTGGTTCTCCATTCCTGAGAAGAATCGACCTTTAAAGGATAGAATTTAGTTAGTTCTCAGCAGAGAACTCAAGGAACCTCCTCAAGGAGCTCATTTTCTTGCCAGAAGTCTGGATGATGCCTTAAAACTTACTGAACAACCAGAATTAGCAAATAAAGTAGACATGATTTGGATAGTTGGTGGCAGTTCTGTTTATAAGGAAGCCATGAATCACCCAGGCCATCTTAAACTATTTGTGACAAGGATCATGCAGGACTTTGAAAGTGACACTTTTTTCAGAAATTGATTTGGAGAAATATAAACTTCTGCCAGAATACCCAGGTGTTCTCTCTGATGTCCAGGAGGAGAAAGGCATTAAATACAAATTTGAAGTATATGAGAAGACTGATTAATATGAAGGTGTTTTCTGGTTTAAGTTGTTCTCCCTCCCTCTGAAAAAAGTATGCACTTTTACATTAGAAAAGAGACTTGTTGACTTCAGATCTGTGGATAATTATTTCTAAGCAACGTGTTTTTATTCCCTACTAATCTTGACTATATCAGATACCATTTATGAAACATTCTTGCTATAACTGTCTCTCCAAGACCCCGACTGAGTCCCCAGCACCTGCTACAGTGAGCTGCCATTCCACACCCATCACATGTAGCACTTGACAGTCCTTGGCATTGTCAGACTTTTCTAATGTTAGTAGTATTTATTAAAGATGAAGATGCACATACCCTTCAACTGAAGGAAATACCAAAAGCTTCCTACGTGTATATCCAGAGGTTTGTAGACAAATGTTGCAGCCTTGTTTGTAACAGTGAAAAATCGAAAACAACCTGAAGTCCAGTGATGGGAAAATGAATATATTTCTGTCTTAGATTGGGGAACCCAAAGCAGATTCAAAGACTGAAATTTCAGTGAAAGCAGTGTATTTGCTAGGTCATACCAGAAGTCATCAAAGTATGGAGAAATGGAACTGAGAAGGTAAAAACCAGTTCAAAGTCAGTGAGGTTCTCATCGGTAACAAGCTCCATACTGCTGAGATGCAGGGAAACGGAGGGGAGAAAGCTGGAGTATTTAATCCCCCGCTCCTTGGTTGTCAGCTCCCTGTCCTGTGTGTGGGCAGAACATACTCCAGCTACTCTATAGGGAGTCCCAGGTGTTTGCTGTAAGAAGCTGCTGGAATGTACGGGAACAGTGAATGCCAAGCACTTAAAGCAATTCCATGTTTAAGGATGTAAGCTCTTCGTACTTTTTATTTTTTTTTCTTTTTAAGACATAATTTCACTCTTGTTGCCCAGGCGGAGTGCAATGGTGCAACCCTGGCTAATGGCAACTTCCACCTTCCCAGGTTCAAGCAATTCTCTTGCCTCAGGCTCCTGGGCAGCTGGGACTACAGGCGCGTACCACTATGCCAGACTAATCTTGTGTTTTTGGTGGAGACATTCCATGTTGGTCAGACTGGTCTTGAACTCGACCTCAGGTGATCCTCCTGCCTCGGCCTCCAGGGGTACTGGGATTACAGGCATCAGCCACTGCACTTGGCAGATCTTCATTCTTTTAGTAAAAAGTATAAAGCCACACATGGTTTATTTGAAATATTTTATAATTTAAAAAAGTACAGAAGCAGGAAAACCAATTCTAAGTTCAAGTGAGGGATGATGGTAGTTTGAACCAAAGGATTGCATGTAGTAAGAAGTTGTGATTTAAGATATATTTTAAAGTTGGAAGTAGCAGGATATTCTGATGGAGTTTGACTTTGGTTTTGGGCCCACTGAGTTTGAGATGCCTTTGAGAAATGAAAGTAGAGAATTAAAAACTGGCCAGGCGTGGTGGCTCATGCCCGTGGTCCCAGCACTTTGAGGGGGCTAAGGCGGGTGGAATACTTGAGACCAGCTTAGGCAACATGGTGGAGCCCCGTCTCTACAAAAGATAACAAAAATTGGCTGGGCATTGTGGCGCACGACTGTAGTCCCGTGTACTCAGAGGGCTGAGACGGAGGGATCAATTGAGCCAGCGAGTTCAAGGCTGCAGTGAGTCATGATTATGCCACTGCACTCCAGCCTGGGTGACAGAAGAGACCCTGTCTCAAAAAAGAATCTGAAAACAATGGAACCATGCCTTCCGAATTCTAGAAAGTTGTTTTCAACTGATAAATCTATATTCAGCCAAATAATCAAGGGTGAAGGTAAAATAATACATGTTTAGACAAGCAAAGACTCAGGGGTTACATGTACCCTTTCTTGGGAAGCTATTGGAGAAAATACTCCAGCAAAATTAAGGAGTACGCAAACCAGAGAATGACACGGATCCAGCAAATAGGATCCAACACAGACAATATTCCAGCTATGGAGCTAGCTTTAAAAAGAAACAGTAAAAATACTAATAGGTTAGCTGGGTGGAATAGCCCATGCCTGTAGTCCCAGCTACTCAGGAGGCTAAGCAAAAGGATGGCTTGAACCCAAGAGTTCCAGACCAGCCTGGCCACCACAGTGAGATCCCTTCTCTTAAAAATAATAGGTTATTGCCAGATTGGGGCATTTGGAAAGAAGTGCATTGAAGATAAAGCAAAAGTAAAAACAAAACAAAACAAAAAAACAAAAACAAACAAACAAAAAAAAAACAAGGGGGAAGGGTTGGTTAGGCAATCATTAATTCTAGGGCAGGAAGAAGTACAGGATAGGAAGTAAGAGCATCATACGCTGTTTTTCTCAACAATGAGCAATATGTACATAGTCATAATGATGTGGTGACTGCTTAGCCCCTAAATCTGGTAACTACTTTGGGACAATATGAGAGGAAAAGTGAAGATAGTGATGGTGTAAGAGCTAAATCCTCATCTGTCATATCAAGAAATCACTAATGTATAACGTAATCAGGAAATGACTAAGTAGTTATGTGAAGAAAAAATAGAACATTGTTGGAAGAATTAGAACTCATTGCTCTGGAGAATTAGGAGGGATGGGGCAGGGGACTGTTAGGATGCATTATAAACTGAAGAGGCTTTTTTAAATTGTATGTATGAATATATGCATTCACTTGAAAAACTAAAAAAAAAATAATAATTTTTTAAAACCCATGAAGGTAACTACCAGAAGGAAAAACTAAGAGAATGAAAAGTGCTTGCCTCTGAAAAGAACAAGTGGCAGGACTGCTGTTTTTCACTGTAAGACTTTTGGTGCTATTTGATTTTACTTAACCATTTTTCATATATTTCTTTAATAAAAATAATTCTATCTTAATAAAAAGTTACACTCATTCATTAAAAAAAGAATTTTAAGAATGTAGTAAGAATCATACACTTTATTTCAGTTAGAGAAAGGCAATGTGTTACACTTGGAAAGAAGTCATATTAATTTTACCACATATTTTTGGGACTCAGCAAAATATTTTATATTTTCTTTATATTTTCTGATTTTAAATAAGCAATTTTGCTTATGAATTTTGTCTGAATCTCTAATAATCTCCTTATAATGCCTAATTATGCCCTTAGTTTGGGTAGGTTTTTCAAAACTTACCAGTTATTTCTTTTTTAGATTACCACTCATGTCCACTTATCTATAGGTGTCTTAGTATCATCTTATTTATATTTGAGATAACCATGTCAGATGTTAAAATACTTTCCCCATTTTTCTTATAACCATTTGACTTTAAGTGTGAAGGTATTTAAAATTTTTGGTGTGTGCACTGTAAATTGAGTTTATTGATTCCACTGCTTTCAGGCTTATACATTTTTTCCCAGAGTGAAGCCACTTCTGTTTCTCCCCTTACCTCTTCATAGTTTGATCTTTCATGTTTAACCTCTTAATCTATCTAGAATCAATAGATGTGTATCATGAGAATGTTAATGGATTTTACTCCCCACCCGCACCCCAAATAGCTACCAAAGAACAAACAATTCTACATTGAGTTTTAGGAATAAAAACTGTTCGCAGCAAACTTGCATTAAACCACTGCAGATGTAAGACATTGAGCTGACACAAATACCGTAAGTCACATTAGTTTGTTTTTTGTGCTTTTTTTAATGTTAGTGTTAAAGAACCAAGCAGCTTAGTAAGGATGTACCTCTAGGCAGGAAACAAATTTTTACATACCTAAGCAATTTTACTGTAAGGTCAGTTGATCTAAGAAGTGTTTCAGAGTAATTTATGGAGTAACTCCTAAACTAGCTATGTTTTATGAATTTTCATATTTATATAAAATATGTGCCAAAACCCTTCATGTTCATATAGAGGTTTATGTCGTCAAAAAGGACAGGCTTTGTAGTAATACAATATGACATCAAGAGAGCCCTCAGCTCCTTAAAATATATGGCAGAAAAACACAACACGAAACCTGTGACCAAGGCTAGAGAACACAGCATTGTTACAGACAATCTTACGCTTAAACATCAGGTGAGATTCTCATTTTACTAAAATTCCGGGTTCCAGTGTGGTCTGTACAAACTCCAGCAGACAATCCACTGTGTCTAGGAAGTAAATATAATGACTTTTATTTTTAAGCTTCATGTAGTCTTTTAAAATTTCTTTTTTTAGGGAAGTGTATTTAAAATGTACACAGTGCAGTAGAACAAGCATGTTAACTGTTATGGGCTGAAATTTGTCCCCCTAAAATTCATGTTGATGCCTTAACCCCTTAACCTCAGAATGTGACTATATTTGGAGACGGGCCTTTAAAAAGTTAAGTTAGAAGAAGTCAGAAGAAAATCGAACACCGAACACACAGAGACACCGGGGGTGGGTGGGCAGTGGAGAAAAAAGGCCATGTGGGGACACAAGACAGTGTCTATCTCTCAGGCAAGGAGGGGGCCTCAGGAGAAAGCAAACCCACCAACTTGCTCTCAGACTACCAGGCCCCAGAACTGAGAAAATAAATTTACGTTGTTTAAGCAACCTGTCTGTGATGCCTTGCTATGGCCACCTTAGAGAACTAATACAATAACAGAAACATCAATGTATATTAAAAATGTTTTCTGATAGAAGATATAATAAAAATTTGGAAACCACTTATCCAAAGCACTTACCTAGGTTGTAAATGGTTTCCTCATCTGCACACAGAAGGAACTTACAACTTATGCCCTCAACAAGCAAATGAACTTTTTTCCTATTTTCCATTTAATTATAAGCTGATCTCTTTCATTAAAGGAAGTTCATTTCTGGCTTTCTTTTCTTCCCCCCTCCAAAAACAGGTACCTATTATTCTGTTTCTGTAAAGATAAAGGATTATTGCTATTTTGATAACCTATGCCATATTTAATTGAAAATTTTAAAATATTTGAATTTGTTCTTTGGATCAGTTGGAATATATTTCCTGATAAACTACTAAACCATTATTAGCAGAATCTCAGTTGCAAAGCATATTCCACTTAGCAAAAAAAATTTACTAAGTAAAGCCAAGGATGATAAAGTTTATAAGCTACAGTTTTATTCACATAAACAATGTAGTTTGTGAATAGCTTTTGCTACCTAGAAGCATTTGATTTATTTAGTTGTACTTTATAAGTGAACTGCTCCAGGCTGTTCACAGGTTATACATATTAAGGGAATTCTAGTCTTCGTCTGGCATTTATAAAAGCACTTAATTTTAAACTTGCAGAAAACATGGTACTTAAATAATTTTAAATATTATAAATTTGCCTCCCTCAATACAAAAGTAAACCAAACTACATTTCTTTCTAGTGTTGTTTCTATGCATAGTTTTATATTTGAAGTCAGTTACATACAATATCATGTATACTATAAAATATGCATTTTACACATAAAGGCACATGAGAGTATCTTTTAAATAAATAAAAACATATCTGTTGACCAATAGCTTTAACACAAGACAGACATCAAATCCTCTAACATCGTATGGTGAAATGCTATTTGTAGCTGCATTTAAAATCACAACTTTCCCACATACATAAAAACTTGCAGGGAGAAAAAAGTTTTGTGTGTAAAGTAACAAAAAAATGCATTATTTTAATCTACTCATTTAAACTGTTTTTCAATAATCATATTTAAAAATCTTTACCTATTTTATTACCCAAAGGAAATCATTTAAATCTACCAAATGAAAAGAGAAACTGAATGTTGACATAAATTATATTTATTGTGTGAAAATGTCAAAATTCAGAATTAAGAATAAAAATATAACATATAACAAAATAGGCATTTAATTGTTAAAATACACCTGGATTTACAAAACATATTTTTAAATGTTTTTAAAACGCGTAAGGAATAAAAATTAATTTTTTGAGAGCTATATAAAATGTGAATTCTATATTATATTTAATTTCAAAATCATTTATTTTTATTAAATGAAGTCAGTAGCTACACTACAGTAAACACAGATAGAAAACAAAAAGTTTAAAAACACGTATACTCCTGAGATAAATATTAAAAAGATGGCAAAAGTACGAGTTTAGTTTTAAAATTGAGTAAATGTTACAAAAAGCTGTGCAATTTTCCCTTTAAAATCCTTTTCAAAATTTACATTCTATCTTTTCTTATTGCTTTTTATCACATTTCAGCCACCTCTCAAATTCAGGTTGTTATGAATTTTAGATCTGAAGTCAAATGCTTTTAACTCACTCAGTGTGCTTGGTAAGTCCGATGTACAAACTCCAAGAACATATACAATGCTCACTGGAGTACAGGTGACCTGATTGTTAAAATTCGGTGAGTTAAAAAATGTGAATAAAATCTCATGTTCTGAAGTAAAATTTTTAAAGTAAATATATTAAACGACAAAAAATGTACTTAATGTTATTATCAGATACTAGTATATGTCTGTTGTGTCAGTACAAGTTACCAAAAGCACCAATCTTAACAAGGTGATATAAAAATCATTCTGTTTATACTATTTTCACTGGGATATAAAGGTTTGTTTTCAATTAAATGTAACATTATGAATCTGTTATTCAAAATATACATCTAGAAGTCTGTCTAAATGCCAAATACAGAATCTTATGGATGCCATTCTTAAGTGCAAGAGAAGTGCTATCATCTTAAATTAAGAAATTATTTTGGAATTATTTATTTATAAAAGTAATTTTGGGCCAACATTTTTATTCTTGTTACTTTAGTACACAAGCTGTTTCCCAGTTGTAAAACAGAAGTCTTTGGACCTGCAGTAGGTTTTCCAGTCTTTCTGCCTTTAATTTCATAGTTTAATTTCAAGGCATGAAAGAATTAGAATCACCTAAAAGAGTTACTGCAGCTTCTGATGGAACAAGGGAGTATAGGGAGCACCTTGATCTCTGAAAGTGTCTAACCTTTAAAATAGGACTTTATTGAAACTTTTAATAGTATCTCACAGAATATATTTTGATTAATTTCAAAAACCTTTAGGTACAAAAAGTATTTCCAGTCTCTCTCACTGAGTACTGTTTTCAAATCATATAATTGGTAGAATAAAGATCTGAGAATCTATTTCAAAAATATATTATATTTAAATTAGGTCAAATTATGACTTACACTTAAAGAACAAAACATACCTCAAGCCATATAAATATATCCTGTTTGTATAGTTCATGTCTGAAAGTAAATCAACTCTATTTTCCAGACACAATTTAAACAAATCATCTATAAAAAAAAGGTGTATAATCAATATCATAGTAATTAAAATTTTTAAAGATTTAAAAAAATATAAAAATAGTTTTAAAATTTTGGTTATAAACTCCTAGAAGTCCCCCTTCTATGTGCATGTATCTTACAAAAAATACTTAATATCTAGAAATACAGGCTATTGAACAAATAGTAAAGAAAGTGCTGAGTTCACTGGCTCTTTTTCTAAAGTTTTCCTTCAGAAGTATCCTCCTGAGTGGGGATGTATAAACCAGAGTTAACAGTAAATCTTGCTAATTTGTTCCAAATGCTGATTTTATGTACTGGTCATTGTGCTTCCTTTATTTTTTAGCCATGAAGAACACAAATAATTAATTATCAAGTCAGGTCCTTGAGTATTAATCTTCTCACTAAAATCGTTATGGTTATCTTGCCCCAGTCATCAATATACAACATGTTTCTTCTTCTGAGAAAGAAGAATGTCCCACTTCACCTTGCTGATATTAAGAGAACTCCTCCATATGTCTTGTTTATGAGATCACATCATGAGCATCACCATTAGGTCGCTGTGGCACAGCCAAGGGAGGCAGCGGCTTCCCATAGAAATCTAAGAAAAGAAAAAAAAACCAAATGCACAAAACAGTTATGGGAAATCAAGATTTTTGACACAGTTCATTATTTTTTAGACATTTCCAAAGAGATAAGCTTATAGAATCTTGGCATGCCTCTCTAAAGCAGACTTCCTTTTCTCTCGTGCATTTTAAATCTTAAGAGACGGTACCAACGTTCCATCCTGTTGAGCCAAATTATACTCTATTGCTTTTGCTTTCAATCCACACATGAATTAATCATGTATTACTTATTATAATGGTTAAAACATTCCTTGCTTATGTTTTACTCTCCAGTCCAATTTCCATTCCTTACTTCTTAAACTTTGACTACTGCAGCAGCCCCCAAATTTGGATTCTTACCCCAAATATAGCCACTATCAAGTTTGTACTTTACATTGCAACAAAAAATACTTTCCTAAGCACCAAATCTAATAATAGCATTTTCCCTTTTAAAAATAAAAGCATTTCTTGAAAAGTTATAGCAAGTTCAGACATCTTACCATATATATGAAGTCTTCACAATCTGGCCCTAAGCCTAACTCCACTTTCAACACTCTGTAATTTTATATTTTCTCTTTCTTACCCACTCAATGCACATACACCTAATCTCCTATCACTGGCAACTTCATGTTATTCTCCAACTAAACAATATTCTTTCCTGCCTCTCCACCTTGAAATAGTCTGTTTCTTCTGATTACTGACTCTTCTCGTTCTTTGAATACCTCGTTATGATGCCACTTCCCCTAACTGCCCATGCACACAGTACTCCTACTGTGCATAGTACTCCAACTGTACACCATAGAACTCATTGTCATATATTCTACAGTAAGCTGAAGAATTGTCCTCTCTATACAGTAGGATCCTCACAAAGGCAGAATGTACATCTTATTCATCTTGTAATTACCAGTGTTTTAACAAACAACAAAATACTTGTATGTTAAATGAGTTCAATAACAGAAAAAATATGTCGTATGAAAAATTGATATTTTTTCTTCATATGTATATGTGTGTACATATAAATATACACACTAACATTACCTAGTTTTCTGACAACAGAGTGAATATTTACATTGACAATGTATCTGATGTATGTGAGTTCACTAAGAGTTGTATAATAAAAAAGAAATAAATCTTCTGTAGTCAATATAAACATCATGATGTAAAGTCAGTAAACTAAACAGAGATATGACAGTTCACTGAAAATACCATTTCACTAATTCTGCTATAGTCTAAGGACAAACTTTTCTGTCTTTAAAAAAAAAAAAAACATGAATTTTCACTAACGATTATCAAGAAATATTTCATTATTGACCTAAATAGAATTCTGGGGGAAAAAAGCAAATAGCATATTTATATTTATGTACTTTTTAAATAAAAATATTTAAACTGGTTTGATATAATTTCAAATTATATGGTAATGCTTTTCTAAAGATTAAACTTCTGAGTTTTTTCCTAGTAAGTGAAACCAAGTTCTAGACTAGGTAAACACAGAGCTATCAAAAAACGAATTGGATGTTCTTAACAAACAAGTTTATTCAGCTACAATTATCTATAATTCTTTTGCATTCTAGAAATATTTTACTGAAGAGACCTAGATGATAGTCTGAATCAGAACTTCTCCCTGTTTTATAAGGCAGTTCTCTACTTCTCCAAAACATCCTTCCTCTAGTTTTGCATCCTAGAATTCTAATGCCATAAACTAGCTAGACTATAGCATATGTTAGTTATATTCAAAGAAAACTGTTCCCTTAATTCAACAAAAATGTTAGTAACTTTCTTTCTACTTAGTCGAACTTTATTAGGTTTACTGATTCGATCTCTGATTTTATAAACTGTGTTGATCTTCACTTTAATATTCAGCGCTGGTTGTCTTATTAGGAGTAGACAGAAAAAATTATGTGGCATTATCACTGAGTATATTGAGCATATACAGAAAACTACAGCTTTTTAACACTTAAGTTACAATTGTAAGGTCTTGTAGTTCAATTATTTTAAAACCTTTCCTTTTTATAACTCCTTGTATAAATATATCATGGATAATAAACACAAGCTATGATTCTTTTTACCTCTGTATTCTAAGGTAAACACCAAATCAAATGATACAGATGTAAAGCACACTAAAGAATAAAAAATTAAATAAAATGAAAAAAAGTATAATGAAAAAGGATGGCTGTGGATTTGACAGGCTTCCAAAACTAAAACATAAGTTTGTTGAAGTTATAAGGTTAAAGAAAAGTTAATGTAACATGTACAGATGATATCTGAAAACCAATCCTTTTGCATTACCATTATGACGTGTTTCACCAAGAGGCTCAAGTTTTGGAAGTCTAGTGACTTTAGGGGTTCCCCAGCCAACTAAAGAAAAAGAAAAACATTTTAAAAACACTGTTAAACAAGGCTTCTTTAGGTCTGTTGAGAGGATCCTTCCCTGGAAAGGAAGCATATGTAACATTCAATGTCAATTCAAATATATTGAATGACACTATGGAAAGCCAGAAACCCATTTTAAATGGCTTCTACATTTTAAAATGTAATTATAGGCTGCTAACATCTGCTTTAACTTTTCAATAACTTTTAATAAAAAATAAAAGCACCTTCACCACTATCAAAAACAAACTCATGATATCATTCTAACTCTACGCAGAAACTAAATATTTTCTTAATAAATTGAATACTGAAAATGAGTCGATAAGAGATTCTTAAAATGTTACCAAATAATTTCTAAAGCCTTGCAGCAGGGATATAAGGGCACTATACACATATTTCTCTAGTCATTACATATTTATTGACCACCTATAGTAGGTGAGGTACTAAGCTTAGTGCTGAAAAGTTACTCACAATTATTGTGCAAGTTAAGTCCTAGTGTTTTATATGCATTACTCCATTTAATCCTCGTAACAACTTAGGACATGGGTACGTATATTGAAAATATATTAGAAAAAATTAATACATCTTGGTTTCAAATGTTAAGTTTCAGGATGAAAGGTCCAATTTTTTATTTTTATTTTTTTCCGAGATGGAGTCTCACCCGTGTGTCACCCAGGCTGGAGTGCAATGGCATGATCTTGGCTCACTGCAACTTCCGCGTCCCAGGTTCAAGTGATTCTCCTGCCCCAGCCTCCTGAGTAGCTGGGATTACAGGCACGTGCTACTACACCCAGCTAATTTTTTTGTTGTTGTTGTATCTTTAGTAAAGATGAGGTTTCACCATGTTGGCCAGGCTGATCTCGAACTCTTGCCCTGGTGATAAGCCCGCCTTGGCCTTAAAAAGTGCTGGGATTACAGGCGTGAGCCACTGCGCCGAGCCAGTCCAATGTTTTAAAAGCTCATGTTAGCCATCCATCATGAAACTTAAATTAACATGTTGGTACTGATATTTCAAACAGAACTTGAACATATTCTAGGAAATATTGGGTATAATTTTCTTACTAGTTTTTACTTATTTTTTTCTTCATAAAACTTTTTTTATTCAAAAAAGCAATGGACATTTTTGTTAGCAAATTTTGTCCAAATTAGAGTAAAAGATTCTTCTTCACAAATACACAAGATAACGAATATGCAGAATAAAAATGACAAGATTTCTTTTTTTCTTTTTTTTCTCTATTGTTCAAAGCAATATTTCTAAATTCAGTATCAGTATCAATTCACTCACCAGGAGGAGGGGGTGGGGGTGGTGTTGGACTCTCAGAAGCACAGTCATCTATATTAAGTGGTTCTACCCGGTGGTTCCTTTTCATTCTTAGTTTCTTAGTTTTCTTTCTACCATTAGCTACAAGAATATAAACATGAAACTTCGTATCTTTATGAAAAAGTGAACTTTTATAATAGAAAACAAAGAATACAACAAAAATATTGATATTATTAACAAAAAAACATCTTGACTATTCAACTTTGGAAATTGTTACAATAATTAAATGTGTACTGGCATTTACTAAGAATATATATATATATATATTTTTTTTTTAAGAATATATTTTTTAAGTGATAGCTTATTGAATGAATGAATGGCCAATGAATATGATACAAAGAGCCAAAATTCTACATTTGAATTTCTGAGAGGTTTTTCACAAAAAAAAAAAAAATGTCAGATGAAACAAATATAATTGTCTAATTGCAAGAGTTTCCATGAAATTCATAATAATCTGGGAAAATAAGCTACTCATTACTGTGTCACTCAGTATATTTCATTTTTTTTCAGTGGAATATGTAGAATGATTCTAGGTATAAATAGTCCAAAAATAATCCCTTGAAATGTGACATAAAAGGCCCTAAACAAATCTAAACATGTTACTTATTTAAAATAACCCCTACAAGGCTATGCACAGCAGCTCACACCTGTAATCCTAGCACTTTGGGAGGTTGAAGTAGGAGGAATGCGAGAGCCCAGGAGTTAAGAGAATGGTCTGGGCAACATAAGGAGACCACATCTCTATGGAAAAAAATAAAAAGCATGGCTTTGTTTTCACGTGCCTGTAGCCCCAAGTATTCAGGTGGCTAAGGCAAAAGGATAATTTTGGGCCCTGGAGTTCGAGGCTACAGTGAGCATGATTGTGACACTGCTATCCAGCTTTGGTGACAGAGTGAGACACTAGACACTATCTCAAAAAAAAAAAAAAAAAAAAAAAAAAAAATTAAATAAGTAAATAAACAAATTAAATAACTCCTAAAGAAGGTAGGCCCAATACAATATAAACATGTAACCAAAGTCACATTAGAACTAGCTGAATTGAATGTGTTCTTTCTTAAAAAACTTATTTACATATTGTAACTTAAACACATATAAACACTTTAAGGAAATCTATGTTAATGTATAAATTTTAATAGGGTAAACTAGGATGACACAGTAGTTAACTAAATTTAGAACATCAGTGTTACTGCAATTTTTTTTTTCTCGCTCAGGCTGGAGTGTAGTGGTGCGATCTTGGCTCACTGCAACCTCCACCTCCCAGATTCAAGTGATTCTTGTGTCTCAGGCTCCAGAGTAGCTGGGATTGAAGGCGTGTGCCACTACACCCTGCTAATTTTTGTATTTTTTGTAGAGACGGGCTTTTGCCATGTTGCACAGACCGGTTTCAAACTCCTGACCCAGTGATGGGCACTCCTTGGCTTCCCAAAGTGCTGGGATTACAGGTGTAAGCCACCTTGCCCAGCCAATGTAACTGTAATATTTCAAAATTGCCGTGTGTGTGTGTGTGTGTGTGTGTGTGCATGCAATGTACTTTCTAAATGGGAATTATCTGTAACATAAAATATATACATTATCTGTGAAGCCTACAAAACAAAAAATACAATCACACTTAGAAACAAATTATTATTCTAAATAAATTAGTGTTGTTTGAAACATTTCACTTCATATAAAAACAAATAGGTCTTTGTACAATTAAAGTGGTAAGCCTAACAACTGGAAGAATAGATCCACAAGATGTGGAAGAACACAACCACCAAACAGTACTTTAGGGCAGGCAGTAGTTCAGGGTCATGGAAAAGCACAGGATGTGGATCAGATGATCTGGACTGGGGTCTCAGCTTACACAGACAGGATATATGATCTTAAGTTACTCAACCTCTTCAAGTCCCTGGTTTCTTCATTTATATAATGGAATACTATACCCCTGGGATTGCAATGTTAAATAACAAAATATTATGTTGAATAATATAGCGCATCCAAAGGCATGTTTTAAAGTATAAAATATGTTAGTTATTATTACAGTTACATGATTTACTATCTGAGATCTCCCTGTGCTATATTTTCAAATCATTTGCCAAAATTACTTTGCTCTTTAACAAGCAGTAGAGAACTATTTAAAAACTTAGAGACCACCGTAATAGGTCTACTTCCTTTTCAGCTCGGCTGACAGTTATATGGGTATAAATATGACTGCCCTAACTTCCCAACTGATAAAAAGTATAACTTTCAAATCTAATATTTTCATCCAGCAAAATATCCATGTTAGCTAATCTGTATCTCAGGAATTGAAATCTTATTTTCATAAGGCCGGTGACACTATAAAAATGTCTTATAAATAATGAAGCCATATTAATGACTAAAAATGTCAAGGAAGCAACAATCATAAGGCATCTCTCATGTGGCTGACACTGCTAGGAGTAGAGTTAATTTCTAAGTAACCCTAAAAGTCTTGTGAATAAAGACAATGTTTATCTGCATTTTAGAGATGAAGAAACTAAAGAATGTTATATAACTTAACGTGTATCTAGTAGATAAGAGAGTCAAGATTCTATCCCAAGTTGTCTGATTCCAAATGCAGGCTATATCCCTACCATACCAAAAATCATGAACGTTCTGTTATATAACATAGCCAGTTGGAAAAAGAAAAGCAATTATGAGTTGAAGATTTTTTATATTAAAATAAGAGAAAAACGGCTACTTGACAAGACATTTTAAAAATGTTCTACCGATTATGTTTGCAACCTACAGCAATAGCCAGTCAATAAAGGAAATGATGCTGATGTAGCACTTATGAGCCTTAAAAAACAAACAAAAAAACCTTAAGATGTTAAATTTATTCCAAGAATTCTTGAGAGCTATGCTGTATCCCAAATTTATGAAAATAAAATTAAAAATGGAATTTTCTGCTAAAATCCTTGTAAGTTACAAAGGACCACATTTTAAGCCATCATGGAAAAACATGTTAGGAACAAACTGGCTGAATAATAAAAGACCTTGAGAAAATCATGGTAAACATGGCATTGAAGACAGAAAAATATTGCAGTACTCGTTTATAAAAACAAACATAAAAAATGAGATGAAGTGTAAGTTTTATTTATATATACATAAGATAATTACTTTAAATAACTAGATTACCTGATTCCAACGATGGCCGGTCTGTCTCATCTTCATTCTCTAACTGCTGTGTTAATGCCTCCTTATAATTTTCTACTAGTCCAAATTCATTATTTTTTTGGCCACTGTCATTAACTTGACCTTCTGTCTCTATTTGCTCATGCTCCATTTTATGTTTCAGGTGGCAGCCATCACTGTCTGTCTCCATTTTTTGCTTTTTTTCCTCTCTTTCAAGTTTTCTTTCATTCTAACAAAAAATAAAATACATTATCTTTACTATGATGGTTTTATCTAAGATGGTTTTAAGGGAGAAATCAAATACCTTAACAGCATTCTGTAACATCAAGGACACTGTGAGATTCCTATTTTAAAAATGATTTCATGAATACATCATTAAAAGATGCCAAATGTCAAACCTTCAGTAAACACAGAAAGTATAACGAAAGAAAACAAATATTACCAGTAATTCCACAAACTAGAGATGACTGCTATTCATCTGTATTATTCGGGATATAATCTGTTCAGTATATAATCACTAAGAGATGATTTTCTCTGCCAACCCCCACATGTACATACACACATCATGTACAGACATATATCACCCAGAAACATACATAAATGTATGTATCTATATATACATTTACAAATACATGTAGATTATGTATTTGATGTTTAAACAAAAAAGAAAGTTTTTATTGAAGAATATACATTTCTTTCCATGCCAATGAATATATGAAGTGCTCAGAACAGTGCCTTACACATAGTAAATGCTACATAAATATTAGCTACAATTATTTTCAATTATATTATGTTTAATGTTTATAGCATACCAATTCTATACCAATGAACAAATAATTTATTTCCAATTTTTCATTATTTTAAAAAATAGAATCATCCTAATAGCTTTTTTTTTTTCATTTTTTTTTTTTTTAATTAAATTGCTAAGAGTAGAACTGTTGAGTCAGTGGGTAGGCAAATTTAAAAATGTCACACATAGTCACAAACTTCCCTTCAGAAAAACTGAATCAACGTATACCCCAGGCAAAGGGTTGGGACAGTGATTTTTTTCTATGTCATATTCAATACCACATATCATGATTGACCTTTTACATCTCTGCCATATTAATACATATTTTTATCTTAGTGTTATTTTCATTTGAGTTTAAGCTAAAATTTTTATTGCTAGCAAAAATGAACTATTACTGACTTTTTTTTTTCTTTTTTTTTGAGATGGAGTCTTGCTCTGTCGCCCAGGCTGGAGTGCAGTGGCGCAATCTCGGCTCACTCCGCCCCTCCAGGTTTAAGCAATTCTCTGCCTCAGTCTCTGGAGTAGCTGGGATTACAGGCACATGCCACTACACTCGGCTAATTTTTTGTATTTTTTAGTAGAGACGGGGTTTCACCATCTTGGCCAGGCTGGTCTTGAACTCCTGACCTCGTGATCCACCCACCTCGACCTCCCAAAGTGCTGGGATTACAGGCGTGCGCCACCATGCCCAGCCACTTATTGACATTTTAAATTTTTTTTTAGGAAACTGTCTTTGGTAACCCAATGCCCACTTTTCTATTAGATTCTCATTATTTTCATAGTAATTTGTAAGAGTTATTTTGTTCATACGTGTCACTAGGACTAGTCACAGAGCCACATGAGACTATGTGTTCTATTTTTCACTAGAGTTTATTTCTTTTCATTTTTGCTTTTTAACTTTGTAGAATAGCTCTTTTAAAATTGGGTAATACAAGATCTATCTGCCTTTTTCCTTTATGATTTGTGGCTTGATTGTCCTGCTTTGAAATGTTTTCCTCCTCCAAGCACATATAAAGACTTAACTATATTATCTACTAGTAACTTGAAGACTTTGACTTTTTAAAACATATTTAAATTTTTGATACTTTTGGAATTTAACTGGGTATACAATATTCAATAATTTTCCTTTTTCCAAATGGTTAAGTTGTTCTATTATTCTTTTCTCTCAGATTTGAAATGTTATCTTTATCTTGTACTGAAATGCTCATACATAATTAGGTTTATTACTATTTGTTCCATTGATCTGTCTGTCTCTTCTAGAACCAATACCTTCCAATATCTCACTATTTAAATTATCCGCGGTAATAATCAAAAAAATGTTAGGTGCTTCTGTACCAAGAAACATGCTAAAAAAGTTTTGTGGGGAAAAAAAGAAAATCGGTATGTTAAAAAAATATATATATATATATATATATATGTAGCTAATTTGTTTTTATTTCTTTACTGGCCATCTTCTCGAAATTATTATAGTTTCGAAGCATAAGTGTACTTTCCCCATGCCACTTATTAATTTGAGAACCTCCTGTATGTGATATACTATGTCGTACACCACTATTATTCACTTCTATACATTGTGGAAAACACGGTGCTGGGAGAAGCACTAGAGCCTTCTACATAATTTATACCCATGGTACTATAAAATAATTAGCCATTATTTATAAAGCAAGCCTTATTATACATAGAGAATAACTGATGTTTCAAAGTAAAAAGCACAACTTGACCTCTTCTCTCTCAATATTTTTAAAAGAACATAAAACAAAACTTGACAAATATAATATCTGATAGAATGGAGACAAAACAATAGCTCATGCTATTAAGATGGTCTTACTATAATTAGAAAAGTACATATTTAGGGTGAATGCAATGAGGTTAATGAAAGATTGAATACAATTAAACCTCCTGGTATCCAAGCAACTTAAAAACAAATGTCTCATATTACCAACTATTTTGCAAAATAAAGCAATACCAAAACTATCCAATCATCTTCTTACCTGCGGAGCTGCCTCCCTCCTCAGTAGCAGCCCCAAGGAAATTTAAACAATCATCCACCTTTCCAGATGAGCACCTGTGTGGAAGGAGGCAGTGACAGGGGAAGAGGAATGGGGAACACACAGGCAGGACCAGTGACGGGGAAGAGGAATGGGGAATACACAGGCAGGACCAGGACGTCAGCCTAAGGTTTAGGAAGCACTGCCTCAGAAGAGGCATGGCTGCCGCCAGCCATAAAAGCAGAGCCAATGCAAACTCTGGACATGAGCAGAAAATGAAAACAAAGACACAGATACACATACGCACACACATACAACGCCTTAACTTCTCCATAATTAAAATCTACAAATTAATGTTAGTAAAATTTCTGATTTAAAATGGAAATAAATGATGTTCAGATACAGGAGAATTTATTGCAGTTTCAAACATCCTTAAGTATCATGGAAAAACAGAAAATTGTTTATGTACTCTAATGCATTCTAAATAAATATTACAAATGGGCAGTAACAGCAATATGGAAACACAGAAAATGTAAGTAAGAGTAAATATACTATTACTATATGAAATAAATGACAAAATAGATTTATCAACACAGCAACTACAATAATTGCTACAGTCAACTTTTATTTATTGTCATTTAATTCTGAAGTCATATTCCCCCTTTTACACTAGATTCAAAGGTAATTTAAGAGAAAGACAAAGCAGTAAACCTTTCATCAGTCTCTCATCTCCAATTTCTTATAGAAATAATCTCTCTGAAGAAACACTTCTGTTTCCCTGCCTCCTTTCCCAACTTTCCACCTTCTTTTCCAAGTTCCAACTTATAACTTAAGATACAAAAATTACATTTGCCATCATTCATACCTCAATGATTACAGATGCTATTGGCTGGAAAGGATTCGTTGGTTCTGGGTCCAATTCAGCCAGACTACCGGTTCCATCAAGTTCAGCCTGCTCTTGTTCATTTTGTTTTCTATTGTTCAAGGAAAAATAATTGAAATTACCTTTGAGAAAGGGCTGAACCATGTTTAAGAAAACTGCAATAGGTATAAGGCTATTACATGTAGTAATTTAAATATCTAGACATGGTTTTCAATTACTGAGAGCATTTCAAAAATCCTTATGCAGGCAAGAGGCTTCTTCCCCACTATGTAAAGACTAATCACTTCATTTTTTAAAAATACTGATAAAAATGACATTTCTTATGACTGACTTCTTAATATCAACAGTGTAATTATTCTTCCATGTGCCAAGGGTATTACTGATCAACTTATTAATTACCCTCCAAAATCAATGCTGTCCTCTTTACTGGTGTTAACAAATAGTAATTATTCTTATTAACTCTTAAGGGCCAAGTCTTCTCTTATAAAACTAGGAAAACATTCCTTCAACTCAACCTATGTTTTCACTTCTGCATAAACATGTTTCTTATTTAGTATAAAAGAATAAAAGACTAGAATATCTATAGTTTGATTCTATAGAAGTATATGACAGAGTAGTAATATAAAATATTTTATCAAGTTGTATATCATATTTGAACTAGATAACTTCCATAATAGTGTTGAGTGGCTATAAAAATAAGTTACCATATGTATCATTCAGATTAAATAAGTATTTCCATATCAGTTACCACTGAACATTTACTATCTCTGTGATTTATAGTTAATGTTGTTCCATATATGATGAATAATGTTATTAAGATGAGCAGCTGGCCGGGCGTGGTGGCTCACGCCTGTAATCCCAGCACTTTGGGAGGCTGAGGTGGGTGGATCACGAGGCCAGGAGTTCAAGACCAGCCTAACTGACATGGTGAAACTCTGTCTCTACTGAAAATACAAAATTAGCTGGGTGTGGTGGCGCATGCCTGTTATCCCAATTACTCAGGAGGCTGAGGCCAGAGAATCGCTTGAACCCAGGAGATGGAGGTTGCAGTAGGCCAAGATTGTGCCATTGCACTCCAGCCTGGGCAAAATTCCATCTCAAAAAGCAAAATTCCATCTCAAAAAAAAAAAAAAAAAAAAAAAAAAAAGGAGCAGCAAAAACCAAAAAAAAAAAAAAAAAAGAAATACAAATATTGTGGATTTTTGACTGGACTGTAAGTACGGTATAGCAATGTAAATGTTCATTACCATAATATTTACTAGCTGTGTTGTAGATGGAAATACATATCCTTTTATTATGAACCTAGGAAGCCAAGATTTGGAGATTTGCAATTTACTACTTCTGTGACTTTGCACCTGGATCTTTGAGCCTTAGCTTTCCCACAAAGTGAATAAAAATAACCACTTCAGAGAGCTGTTTCAAGGGTCAGATAAAGTAATATATGTGAGACCACTCTGTGAATGAACTTTCTCACAAGATAGCCATTGTTATTAATGTTATTTATTAGTAAGCAAATTCAGGAATACAGTATTAATATATTATTTTTACTTGGCATGTGTTACTGTTTTTCAAACACTACAAATGACTATCTGAACCAATTAGATTGGATTTAGTGAAGTAAAAAGGTTGTTTTTAATCACCCGTCTCCGAATGTCAATTTACTTTTCATTATGGAATACTGGCTCAACAGGAGAGGTCTCCTCAAGAGGAGAGGTCTCAGACCACAACTGGCAGGATAAGGAGAAAGAAAGAAAGGGTAAGGAGTACCAGAAAAGCCTGCCATAACATGATCTAGAATATAGAATATCATTATGGAAAAGGCAAAAACATTTAAAAAGTTACTAACATTAGATTTCTTTTATCCAACTCAATTTGTTGCTTCTATTTTTATTTTCTTAGTGGAGGAAAAGGAGTTTTCACATAAGTATGGCCATATATTTAATTTTTATAAATATTATATATAAAAGGTATACTTATATGCATGATTGGTTGTACTGAGCTTTATATGATAAAAATAGATACTAAGAAAAAAACAGATTCTCACAGGAACTAAAACCTTGTATCAACAGCTGCCAAAATCATTCACTCTAATCTGTTTTTTATATAAAGAGATCCCTGATGAATGACATGCTCATATTATGGAGCACTTGGGGATAGAGAGTCATTTCTACAAATATTTATTTAAGTCCTATCGATGAATTACATGAAAAATACGTTATCAGAGGATTTCCTTCACAGTATAAGAAAGCCCCTCATAATGGGGTCACCAAGGGTAGTAGGTTCTTGCCCACTGGGCTACAATTATGTTAAACTACACAGAAGGCCAGATGGAAAGCAACTTTGGATCAGATTTTGCTTGAGTTGAATGATTCTCTATCAGCTCACCTTCTATCCTTGCTGAAACTAAAAAGGTTCCTCAGTCTCAACGTTATTGACATATTAAGCCTGATAATTCTTTGTTGTGGGAGACTGTCCTGTTTGTCATAGGACGTTCAGCTGCATCCCGGGCCTCTACCCAACAGATGCCGAGTAGTACTCCACCCCTCCCCTAGTGGCGAAAACTAAAAATGTCTCCAGACACTGCCAAATGTTAAAAACTACCCTGTGCATTGAGAACCACTGCACTAAAGATACCCATAAGAAATCAGAGATAAAAATTTAAAACTCTGGAAGGCAATGGTTACATAAGGAGTAAATTTAACTACTATACAACCTCCAGAAAAATTAGGAATCTATCACCCAAACTTGTATAGAAAAAGATCCATAGAAATACAAAATTTACCTAGTGTCTTCCTTCATATAGAAAGAAGAAACTAAACAGATAAAACTAACAACTAATTCATCAAATTCTTATGTTTTTGATTCTTCAAATGCACCGTGGTGCAAAATTAATCTACTTACCTTTCTTCTCGTAATTTTCGCACTCGTTCAGCTCTTTCTTGTTTATCTTGTTCCTCAAGAGCACGCTGTTCTGTTGTATCTTTTTGGATGCGTTCATTTAAGGCATCAAAGTCTCTTGCAATAACATGTAGCAGCCAAAAAAGGCCTTTTTTAATGGACTTGTCAATTTTCTTTCCATACCCCGAGATTGCTGAGCATGGTTCCTAAAACAGAAATTTATTTGACTAAAAGATTAAAAGGTCTCCACACAAATCTATTCATAAACCATTAAGTATAATTAATAGCAAATCAAAATTAAGCTATTTAAGTTAATGATATGAAGCATCTGCTTATTTAACTTCCAAAACATAGCATTGCAATGATTATTAACATTAGTATATAGGACTTAAAATATTTTACAGATAACATCTGTACGCTATGTGAGATACTATAAAGAGGGTGACAGTGCCACTTACAATATTAGAAGAAAAAATTTAATTGCCATAAAAAAACACCTCTATTTATTAAAAATGCCAAGAAGTTTTAATTCCTTATACTAAACTCTACAGCAGTAAACATCCATAAGATTGACAGCCTAATGTTTTTTAAAACCAAAATAAATTATTACATCCACTGTCGATCTTCCTTAAGACTGTATGACATCTCTCCTGATATGATTTATCTTTTCTTTTTCTGTTTTTTAGAGACAGTGTCTCATTCTGTTGCCCAAGCTGGAGTGCAGTGGCTGGATCAGAACTCACTGCAGCCTTAACGTCCCAGGCTCCAGTGGTCTTCCCACCTCAGCCCCCTCAAGTAGCTGGGACTACAGGCACACACCACCACACCCAGCTAGTTTTTGTATTTTTTGTAGAGCTAGGGTCTCACTATGTTGCCTAGGCTGGTCTGAAACTCCTGGGTTCAAGCAATCTGCCCCCTTCAGCCTCCCAAACTGCTGGGATTATAGGCATGAGCCACCATGCCCAGCAATATAATTTTTCAAAATTAATTATGAATCTCTCATATGTTTAAATGTTGTATTTACACTTTTCTTTCCCATTACAAATGTCATACTATGATGTGTTGGCACAGTGCACAGATCCTATCAGCAATATCTTAAAATGCAAATGAGAAGCTCCTTGAAATCATGGAGAGATGGTTCATGGAAATAACAATGAAACAGACAACAAATATTATGGTATTAAGTTATATCAACAGAAAAGTGGGAGTGTGATTTCATAGGTTACAAAAAATTCTTTGAAAAGATTGTCTTTTAACTGCTATCACTTTTATAAAAACCAAGTTATACTGAACCTATTTGAAAGGACAAAAAATTAAAATTTAAAAAAAAAAAAAAACCTTACTATCTGACACAGGCACTTGTGCTCATTGACCAATTTTTCCAGAGATAGACATTCAATGACATCAGCTTCTCCTAATGCTCCTTCTTTATCTTGTTTGTTTGCCAACCTAAAAGATAAATAAAGTACTTTTATACAGCATATACATAATTGGATGGAAACTTAAAGATATTCCGAACACATTCTTCTTTTTTTTTTTTTTTTTTTTTTTTTTGAGACTGAGTCTCACTCTGTTACCCAGGCTGGAGTACAGAGGTGCAATCTTAGCTCACTGCAACCTCCGCCCCCCAGGTTCAAGTGATTCTCCTATCTCAGCCTCCAGAGTAGCTGGGACTACAGGTGTGTGCCACCACGCGTGGCTAATTTTTTGTGTTTTTAGTAGAGACTGGGTTTCGCCATTTTGGCCAGGCTGGTCTTGAACTCCTGACCTCAAGTAATCTGCCAACCTCAGCCTCTCAAAGTGCTGGGATTACAGAAGTCAGCCACCATGCCTGGCCTGATCACATTCTTTGATTCCCAAGTTTTAAATCTACTGATTACAGAACACACTAGTTTCTTAAAATGTTTTACTACCAATTTTGTCATTTTTCCTTTATTATTGCTAAAACAGTTTGTAACTACTGGCCTATAAAAGGAAAATCAAATAAACAGAAGTGTCAAGAAAGCAAACAACAGATCAATATGCCAACAATAAAGCTACAAAACAGAAAAAGAAGAGGACTAATTTCCCCAGGTCACATCCATAAATTATATTCTTACCTTCTTAAAATACAAACTGTAATGTTTTAAATGCCCAAATATTTATTCTGAATTTGTAATATTTGAGCTTATCTACAATTATAATGTGTGAATGTGTCCACATAAATGTACAATTTACTGAAGACCCAAGGCCACTTCTAATTGACTTGGCAAAGCACTGGGAATTACAAAAAAAAAAAAGATTGTACTCAATTAGAGACAAACTGGACACCGACAAAATGAAAAAACAAAATATTCTACAGAAAAACAGGATTTACCACAATATACCACTATTTAATTATAAAACACAGATTTAAAACTTTAATAAAATACTGCCTTGCTCAAAGTTTGACAGACTCTTTAGGTTAAAAAAAAAAAATTAAGTACATAGACTAAGACGAAACCCTTAGAAATTATCGAAACTGTGTCATTCTTGCTTATCTACATAACTTCTTTTTTGTATTTCCCAAATTACCATTAAATCTACATACCTTCTGTTTTGCTGCCTGAGTCACATTACTTCACCCAGATATTAAAAAATCATTACCATGATACCACTATTACACCTAACAAAATTAACAGTAAGTCTTCAATATTACTCGATTTACTCAATATTCTCCAGTATCATTTTACAAGCGTTATGTTTAAATTCAGATCCAATATACATTACTTATCACTTACCTCTTTTTGAATCCGTGTTACACCTGCCCTCCCCGCTACCAACCCCACAACTCTTTTCCTCCCATGACATTTATTTGTAATTTTTCTTTAGAATTTCCCATATTTGGGATTTGGCTAATACCTTCCTTACACACTTATTTAACATACCTATCCTATATTTCCCATATCTGGTGGTAAGAAGCTGGATGAGTTTCAGATGAAATCCTTTTGGCAAGCCTATTTCGTAGGTGGTGCTTGTATTCAGGGAGGTATATAATATCACTTTTATATGATGTCCTGTTTTAGTGGTATAAAATTATTGGATTTACATTTAGCCTGATCCATCCAAAATAAAGTTCTTGATTAATCTTTCGCTTAATGATTTTAGCAGCCATTGATGACCTTTACTCAATTCTATTATTTTACCAAAGTTTATGAAACAGTAACTTTTCTAGTTCCATATTCCTTCTGCATTTACTAGCAGGATTCTTGCTTAAAAAAAAAAAAAAAAAAAAAAAAAACTTTCACCAACTACTTGGTTGGCTCTTAAAACTCACAAAGTCAAGATAAATGTTTGATCCCTTGCCCTTATTTCCTAATTGTCAAAATAATGCATTGATGGCATAGCAACCTCCGAAGGTAATCAGGTTGATTAAAAAAAAAATCCTATAAATTTAAGGATTATTAGTGCAGTTTTGTTATGTAAACGTATTGCATAGTGGTGATATATTGCATAGTGGTGAGGTCTGGGCTTTCAGTGTAACCATAAGCTTAATAATCTGCATTGTAGACATTAATTTCTCATCTCTAACTCCCCGTCCACCCTCCCACCCGTCCAAGTCTCCAATGTCTATTAATCCACACTCCATGTCAATGTGCACACATATGTAACTTCCACTTATAAGTGAGAACATGCTATATTTAACTGTTTCTGAATTATTTCACTTCAAAAAATGACCTCCAGCTCCATCCACGTTGCTGGAAAACACATGTTTTTTAAATAGTTGAGAGTATTCCATTGTATGTATGTACCCACCCCCCCCACCACACACACACACACACACACACACTTTCTTTAATCATCCATGGAAGGACATTTAGGTTGACTCTGTATCTTTGCTACTGTGAATAATGCTATGATAAACATCTGAGTTCAGATATCTTTTCTTGTATAATAATTTCTTTTCCTTTGGATAGGTACCCAGTAGTGAGGCTGCAAGACTGAATGGTAGTTCTTTTTTTAGCTCTTTAAGAAATCTCCACACTGGCCAGGTACGGTGGTTTACGCCTCTAATTCCAGCACTTTGGGAGGCCAAGGTAGGCGGATCACAAGGTCAAGAGAGCGAGGCCATCCTGGATAACACAGTGAAACCCTGTCTCTACTAAAAACACAAAAAATTAGCCGGGCGTGGTAGCAGGCGCCTGTAGTCCCAGCTACTCCGGAGACAGAGGCAGAAGAATGGCGTGAACCCAGGAGGCAGAGCTTGTAGTGAGCCGAGATCGCACCACTGCACTCCAGCTTGGGCGACAGAGCGAGACTCCGTCTCAAAAAAAAATAAAATTATCTGTATTGTTTTCCATAGTGATTGTACTAATTTACATTCCAAGAATGTATAAGCATTCCCTTTTCTACACAATCTCGCGAACATCTGTTATTTTTTAACTTTTTCGTAACAGCTAAAACTTCTGACTGGTGTGAGACGGTGTTTCATTGTGGTTTTAATCTGCATTTCTCTGATGATTAGGGATATTGAGCATTTTTTCATATGCTTCTTGGCTATCTGTGTGTCTTCTTTTGAAAAATGACTATTCATGTCTTTTGCACATTTTTAATGGGTTTTTTTGTTTTGTGGTGGTGGTGTTGATTTCTTTGTAAATTTTCGATATTAGTCCCCTCTAGGATGAATAGTTTGCAAATATTTTCCCTCATTCTGCAGGCTGTTTGCTCCGTTGATTACTTCTTTTGCTGTGCAGAAGTTTTTGCTTAATAATTAAGTCCCATTTGTCTATTCCTGGTTTTGTTGCTTTTGCTTTTGAGGTCTTAGTCATGAATTCTTTGCCTAGACCAATGTCCAGAAGAGTTTCATCAAAGTTTTCTTCTAGTATTTTTCAGGTCTTACCCGTAAGTCATACCATAAGGTGCATACCACTATGCCCAGCTAGTGTTCGAATGTGTGTTTTTTTTTTTAATTTTATTTTAGCAGAGATGGGGTTTCACTATGTTTCCCAGTCTGGTCTCAAACTCCTAGGCTCAAACAATCCTCCTGCCTCAGCCTCCTAAAGTACTGGGATTACAGGCATGAGCCACTGTGCCCAGCCGCAGATCTTATTTGTATCTCTTTTTACTTATGCTGAAAACTACAGTTTCTAATAATATTATTTGTTTTATCCAACTATATATAGGAATTTCAACATAATAATATCAATATTTTTACTAAATATAAGACCACTAAGTGCAGGTTAACATATCTTTGTGGTTATTTTTGTCTCTACGCTATATCCCACTAGAGATGCAGAGTCAATAATACTGTTTTAAAATTACTTAAAACAATACTTCTCTGTGTAGTTTTCCCATCACCTAGATATATACCTAGGTTCATTTCTTTCTAGGTGCTTTTGCATTTTACAGATAGTTTGTGTATTTGTTTTAAGATTTAATTTCTAAAATATTTATATTGGCCAAGTGTCATGGCTCACGCCTGTAATCTCAGCACTTTTGGGAGGCCAAGGCGGGTGGATCATTTGTCAGGGGTTCAAGACCAGCTTGGCCAACATGGTGAAACCCTGTCTTTACTAAAAATACAGGAAAAAAAAAAAAAATGAGCCAGGCGTGGTGGTGCGCACCTGTAATCCCAGCTACTCGGGAGGCTGAGGCATGAGAATTTCTTGAACCCAGAAGGCAGAGGTTGCAGTGAGACGAGATTGTGCCACTGCACTCCAGCCTGGGTGACAGAGTGAGACCCTGTCTCAAAAAATAAAAATAAAAATAAATTTATATGGTTCTAAATTCAGAATTATAAAAACAAGGTACAATCAGAAGAAGTATTTGCCATCTCTTTGCCTTTTCCTTCCCTTCTACTATAGGTAACCATTTTCATTCATGTTTAGTTCATCCTCCCATTATTTGTTTTTGAAAATATAAACAAGCATATGGAGAAAATGGTATTTTAAGGACCATAATTTGGGCACTATGGATATTCAATGCTATTGACTGTTTATGTATTTGTGTATATATACAATATTTATATCTACCCTTCCTTTCTTCCTAAAAGTTAGCGTATTATATATATATTCTTATGCAGCATGCTTTTTTAAACAGAAAAGTAAATTTTGAAAGTACCTTGAAGCAGTATAACAAAATCTTCATTATTTTTTATAATTGCAAAATGCTTCCCTTTGAATGTTTCATAATTTACTCAGCCAGTTCTATGCTGAAGGACTTTTGTGTTTCCAGTGTATTGTTTTTACAAAGAGTGCTATAAAAAGTAGGTGTGCAAAGGAGTTATTTCTTATTTTGAGTACAGATTCCAGGAAGTAGAACTATTAAAACAAAGAATATATATAAATGTGATTGCCCGGGCATGGTGGCTCCATCTATAATCCCAGATCTTTGGGAGGCTGAGGCAGGTGGATCACCTGAGGTCAGGAGTTCGAGACTAGCCCGGCAAACATGGTGAAACCCCATTTCTACAAAAAAATTATCTGGGCATG